CTATCTGTCTGTCTATCCTCAGCCTCCAGAATGAAGTCAAAGACAGTGTTCACCTCCTCCTCCTCCTCCTCCTCCATGTGTTGACAGAAGAACACATGTGGGCAGCAGCTTCTCTCCTCCACTCTATTTTGTATTTTTTTATTCAGATGATAAAACTTGGATCATGGGTTCGAGTTAGCAGGAGGGGGCGGAGCTGCGGCCGCGCTCGCTCCTGATTGGCCGCTGCGCGCTCCCCGTGCGGCTGGGGACGTGTTTAAATAGCCAATGGCGGAGCAGCGCTGGGTACAGCAGAGCAGCCGCTGACCTGTCATCCCTCTCTCGGTGAAGACCGCGTCCGAGCGACACCTCGTCCCGCGCTTCCTTCACTCACTCAGCCGTACCGCCATGGAGGAATCAACCAGTTGACGTCCGCTGCTGCAACCTTCTCTCTTTCAAGCTTTCTTCCGTCCGATCACCGGCGTCTCTCCACTGGGTTTTTTTTTTTTAAATTCAACTCCCGTGTTTTTCTATCTCCGCGAGCCTTTGTGACCATCCACACATCCGACACCATGAAGTACATCATCGGAATCGGCGGGTGAGTGTGAGCTTGCTCAGTCCCCGGCGGATGAGTGTCTTGTCAACCCCCCTCACCCTCATCCGGAAGCCGCTCAGCTAAGCTAACCGGCTAGCCGAGCTGCAAGGCCTTGAAAGCCCGGCACACGTGGGGGCGAGAGCGGTCATGACATCTGCTATAGTCTGTCGTGTTTTTATCGCTGTGTCGTTAATGTAATCGCACAGTTGCCATTGAGATCGATGCTCTTCCTGTAGCCTGGTAAACAGTCATCTGTTTAGCCAGGCTACCCCCCCCCCCCCCCCCCCCCCCCCCGCTAATCTGTTCTGTCAATTACCGAAGCTAAGTGACAGGCATGGTGCGAACCCGCCATACTGACCCACCCCTGGTATACACGGTGCAGCTAGTAATGGCTGACATCCATGCAGTGTGTACATGTGGCGTTAATGTGCACACAACTGGTTTGAAACTAAAAATAATGCGATATCGCTAAATGGGAAGTCATGGCGGAAATGAGTGAGATTCACTACTCGATCGATCACATGACGGATGATGCACATTCAGTATTTGCGGTGGTAATGGATCTTTCAGCAGCTCTCCACGTGGCTTGTGTTCATTCATTGCTTTGTCCCGTTCAGCGTAACCAATGGAGGGAAAACCACCCTCACGAACAGACTGATCAAGAACCTGCCCAACTGCTGCGTGGTCCATCAGGATGACTTCTTCAAGGTGAGCCTCGTGCACACACTCATTTTGGATGTAGTTAAACAGGGGGATTGCCTTTTTTGTTTGAGTAGCATAAGTTGGTGGGTTGTTAGCACGTTGCTGGCTGTGTTTGTTAGTTGCAGTATGAGCTCGTGTGTAACTATCACAGCCTTCCATGTAGCACTAGTGGAATGTACCTGGGTACAACTTATCCATGTATGTTTCAGCCCCAAGACCAAATAGAAGTTGGTGAAGATGGCTTTAAGCAGTATGATGGTAAGCCTGGGTTTTTAATGGAGGCATCTGTGTATGTGTGTGTGCTTGTTGGGCTGGTGTGTGTGTGTGTGTTTGGTCCCCACTAACATGGTGACTTGTTTGTTAATCTGCATGCAATATACACTAACTTAAATACCTAACATGTGTTTTACGTTCCCCCATCCCCCTTAATCCTTCCTCCTTGCTTTCCTCTCCAGTCATCACTGCTCTGGACATGGACGCCATGATGAGCACGATCTATGCGTGGTTGGATAACCCAGTGAAGTTTGAGAAGTCGCACGGAGTCAACAACACCCTGGATACTGAGATCATCCCGAAGTCAGACCATAAGGAGGAGGAGGAGACTCACATCCTCATTGTGGAGGGCTTCTTGCTTTACACCTACGGGTAAAAACTTGGTTGCGTTTCTTTCTTCTGTAAAATAAATGGGACATATGCATTTAATTAATTTGTCTCTGCCCTTTCAAGACCCTTGATCGACGTGCTGAACCAGCGTTTCTTTATTTCCATCCCATACGAAGAATGCAAAAAGAGGAGGTGGTAAGTGCTTCAGTGTTCAGACACAATTTGTAGACAAGCCTGCAGTCTTATGATCTGTTTATAATCGGTGCTGCTGTCTCTCTAGCTCCAGGAACTACACAGTGCCAGACCCCCCCGGCCTGTTTGATGGTCATGTCTGGCCCATGTACTTGAAACATAAGAACATCATGGAGACAACAGATATTGGCGTTGGTAAGTCTATGAATTTTATTAAAATTCTCTGTTGTTTTACACACATGCAATGTTTTATATTAAAGTTTCTAATATTTACTTGTCATGTCTGATTTTCTATTACAGTGCAGCTAGATGGAACCAGGTCAAAGGAACAACTGTTCAACGTTGTCTATGGCGACATCCTGAATAACATCCAGAAGACTCAATAACAAAGGTACGTCATGTACAACCCTGTTTTCAATATAAACATTTTTATCCGCATGCAAGCTTTTGATTAATTTCCTTGTTTCTGTCATTGCAGGTCATACGATCGGCTAAAAGGAGCATATACTCGGCCTGCAAGCAGAAGACCGCTTTGCCTTAAGTTCCTCACCTAGCAGCGGACTGCTATGAATTTATTATCATTATTTTTTAAATGTAAATTAACAGCATCTGGTGCTGGTATGATTTTTATATCTGCCGTATTTATTGCTTTGTTACAGCCCACACTCCATAGAGTTGATGGATATGTTCAGAGGATGGGTGCGTTTAGTTGCACATGTCAATAAATGATCGTCCTTCTAACTCTGTGCTCTTGTGATTACTTTGAAGAGATGACACAATAATTTGTATTGTTCATTTTAAGCCCACACTTAGTGGCTGAGTAAGGTGCAGTGAGCTGGGAGTTTTCACTATCTCGCCCAGAGGCAACAGTTGGTGTGAGTGATAAGTGGAATCACACAGCTCAAACCCTGTGACATCAGGTTGTGAGCACAACTCTTATCTAAATCCACCCACACTCAAGTCTATTTACTTGGTCTAAAGTCAGAATTGTCGTGTGAATGAGTTACTATTTCAAAGGTCATCCTTACCCAGTCAAACCTGAGCAACAGGTCTCTGTCCAGGATAAGTTGACACAAAGGAACTTGACCCACCTGGCTTCATGCCAAATTTAGTTTCAAGGTCACATTAAGCTCGATGCAGTAAAACATGTATGGAATGAACTTTTACATAAAAGCTTGGTAATGCATTGGTTTAGATGCTAAGGAAGAAGCTGTGGACGCAAGCTGACAATCACTTGGATGGAAAAACATAAACAGCACTTTCCTCCTGCACCTCTTCAGTTGTTTGAATGTTTTTAGAATAGTAACGACCTCTTGAGCAAAGACGTTTACTCTAAAAAGATGCTTGACCCCAGTTACAATATATAAACTCAACAGGGTTTATCAGATGTTTCCTAAAGCAATGTCTTAGTATAACTGCAGGCACCTCAATGGGAATAAACATGACTATGTTTTGTGTTTAAACAATAGGTGGTTCTGTATGAGAATGTGTCACGTGTAAGCCAAACACAAATATCTGCGAAGAGAAGGTTTTTAATGCAACATTAACTATGAATCTATCAGGTAGAGCAGTTATGCGATGCAGTGCCATACTGCTGCACTTGAGATTGTGCTGTACATGTGTCTCAGTATAACATTAACTCCTGGTAATGGAAAAATACAGCTGGTGAAGGGTTAATTTCAACGTCCACTCTGGGACTGTCGATCACAGGAAAAATGAGTTTCACACTCCTCCAGCTGCCGTTAAAGCACATGTGACGTGACCCTGGGCATGTGTGGAGGGTCAGAGCCAAATGTATGTGAGGAAGAAAGTTTTTGGGCCAACATGAGTATTATTTTTCACCTTTCTCTCCCTGTAGTGATTTCTCCATTATAGTAGAAGTTATTCATTCGGATTCAGAATCAATGCTGAAATTATTTTATTTGAAGCGTCTCTATCTTCCACCCACGAATTACACAAACCTGCCTTTTGAAACAAACAGGATATTTTTAGCTCGACTGCAATGAATTTTTCACTGTTTTCATTTTGTTTTCACTGTGGAATAAAACGTTACTGTGCACGCAGGACCACTGGAGCTCTGACAAAATGAGCATGTGTTGTATTATTCATGGAGCACAATGTGGCTCTCATGGCTTTTAGACTCTGTAATCTGCAACAACAGCACAGGGCACATGTGTCTTATGAGTCATGGTTTATGATGAACCAGCAGTGGGATGTCAGGAAGTATGTACTTTGTTACTGCACTCAAGTAGATATTTGTGTCTGACTATAGATTTATTTTCAGGTTTTACTTCACTGCATAAATCAGCAAATATCTCTACCCTCTACTCTACTACACAAACTATTGTGTTTCATGTTCACATTATTTTATATATTTAAAAGTAAATTATAACTAGAGAGGAAATGGTTGGAAGAGACCATCGCAGATATCAGACATACAATGATAGCGTAGACCACTGCATTGGGTATAGAGTACACTCTGCAAGTAGTTTTACCTTCAATACTTTATACTCTATCTATCTATCTATCTATCTTTTACTTAAAGGCTCGGTGTGCAGAATTCAGTGACATCTAGTGGTGAGGTTTCTTGTTGCAGCTGAACACCCCTCACACCCCTGTGGTAGCCTTCAGTCGTCCAGTCTGGGCTACTGGAAAAAACATTACCGCCTCCGTAGAGAGGACCTGAGGTAAATATAAAGTACTTGAATATAAATGGCCCATTCTAGGGTCAAGAAAAAAACAATTCTTACAATTTATATGAAACACACTACTGAAAACATCACAAGGATTATTTTATATTCAATTTCTGCCAATAGATCCTTTTCACCTAAATCATACACACTGAACCTTTACTCTAATACATCAAATCAGTCTATAAATTGGGAGCGTACATGGTTCCCACAAACCTTTGTATTGTTACTTACGTTAAGTTCATAACTAACATTTTAACATCACATCTATGCATTTGGATGTTCTCAAACCACATCTCTGGATTTACTCCCACCAGTTTGTCCATTGTGAATGTTCTGACTGTTCAGGCACAGTTGTCCTTTAGTTAGATGTAACTTCAAGGTGTGGACGTCTACATGAATTGAGTTTGAGAATTGGGGGGGGGGGTCACAGTCTGTGAGAGATCTTGTTACAGTCCCGTCCATCTTTGGAATGTTCTGCTGCCTGCTTTAGTTTCAGGCAGGACAAACATTAAAATCCTTCATCCTTTATGTCCCGACTGCGATTCTTCAGCTTGGACCAAACCTTTTAAGTTTTGCTCTATTCCTTTCTCTCTGTAAGATTCTTGCTGAAAACCAGGTATTTTGTGCCTTTCCGTCCTCGTACAGGCACATTGTGTTAACAGTAGCTCACAATATGCTTAACCTCAATGCCAAATATCATTTTAAGATGGTGTTAATTTCCTCAGAGGGTAGCGAACTCATTTTGAAACAGGTGTCACTTCACAAAGTGTGCAGAGCTGCCCGGTGTAGACTTGAATGTGAGCGACAGTTGCATAACCTTGACTGCTGCTGGTGCAGGCAAGGCCTCGCTCGGGAAAAAAGGCAAAAAAGTGAGGAGTGTTTCAGGTCTGCTCTGAGGCACGGCTGCATATGATTTATTGGCCTCCTCCTCTTCTGCAGTACTTTTCTGTGGGTAAAGTTTGGAAAGACATAAAATGTTAAAGATAAACACCATAGGCTAAAATAGTATTTTCTTTTTCAGCAATGTGGGCCCCTGAAGAAAATGGGTTACTTTGGACTCCTTGTCCTCTGATACAATACTTCATGGATGAACTGCTTCGTGGTGGTAGAGGACGTCGTCTTCTGACACTCGCACTGCCTCTGGACAACGACAAACCCTGCAGTTTTCTAAACCACACTAACCACCACACTGGGGTTGTAAAGCCTGCAGTACTGGCTCTTACTGGATCTTGTTTATGCATGCGAGAAAGTGTGTGTCCGCCTGCCTTTCTGTCTGCATGGGTGTAAGTATGTTTGTGCTGCGCCCGTCTCCTGCTCCTTCTCCTTAAACACCTCTGTGCATCCAAAAAGCGGAGGAAGCAACAGTCTGCTGCGGTTGACTCAAATAGAGCATATAAACAACACCATAAATCCTGCCTGCAGACCTCTAACTCCTTACAGTTAAGGTTGGATTATAACATCTCCACCGTAGACAGGTCAGACAGGACATGGCCGTGCAAACCACTAACCACCCTGGCACCAGAGGTGACGGCGAAAAAAACAATTTCTTTGTCTCACTTACAGCTTTGCAGCGCCTCATTTCCTCCTGTTTTCTTCTGTTACCCAACCAAAAGAAACAACAAGGACAGGGAACATTCATTTAATCAAATCATCCTTTCCCCTTGCACCATATAAGCTGCTCTTCAAAGCCTTCCTCTCCAGCCTTCAGTTGTTTCTATATTTAAGACTTTTACTACAGTCTAAGAGGAGCCCATGAAACCACCATTCGCTCCATAAAACCCTCTGTGACGATCGGGGTTGTTGTCAGAGCTTGATTTGATAATGACACTTGTAAGAGCCAGAATGGAAGCGAGTGGAATTAACGCTGCACCTGTGGGGGCCGATGTGAAAACAGGTTTTTTTGTCCGACTGTGGTTCAGCCGCTCTGTCTGTGTTTACACTGAGAAGACTGGCCTCGGGAAATAAGTTGTACCACAGTGCAGACACAACAAGACACTCTGTAAGCCATAATATCCTGAATCAAATAACTGCATGACAATATATAAGTCACTGAAGTACTTTTACTTTGAAACCACGAGTACACCTACCCGCTAATTCCACAATGTCTGTTTGTCTCAATGTGGAACATATATCTTCCAAACCATTTATGTCATCGACTTCACACTTGTCAGGGAAGCGCAGAATCAAGTTTGGTTTGATTTAGACACGTGATATGTTCAATATTAATAAACATTTCATTAACAGTATGCAGATCAAGTTGAACATGTCTTCTTCCGCCTACAAACGACAGCAGCGATCCACATCTGGGTCAAATCGCAGGTCAAAATCGCCACCAGATCATAATTTTGTTATTTTTATTTCACCATATCGTCGTTGCAGCTAAATCCATAGATTCACTTTCTTAAAAGTAAAAGCTCAACGTTAATTTTGTTGCTGCAATGCTTAATGTCAAGCAGAATTACAGCTCTTATTTTGTAAAGTTGTGAATTTTGTTTGTGAAGATTGAAAGGCCTCTGAAATAGCTAATATACAATGTAGGGAAAAAAACAAGTCATTCAACTTATAAAAATATAAACCACACACGAAGAATAATAAAGGAAATTCAGTTTCATTTTATGGAAAAAATTGACAATGTCATTGCAGATAAACCAAGTAGGATAAACACAAAGTTTTGTAACTTCACTCTGCACCATAGACATTTATTAAAACTCTGCTCACAAACAACAAAAAGTAAAATATATATTGTAGAACTATTGGAGGAAGACGCACTGACGACAAGGAATACACCTGAAGTAACTCTGGAGCATCAACTCAGGAGAGAGAACAGAACAAACAGGCAGGTTTAGAACAGGCGCTCGTTCCTTAAGTTCACACTTTTGAAAGGAGGTCTTTTTACGCCCTGCAGCCCCCCCCCCCCCCAGCAGGTTGACCTGTCAACACGACCTCACTTTAACTCATTTGTGTGCTGTCTATCTGGTTGTTAATGCTATTATATAAACTGATCATGTTTTGTAACAAAATTTTTGGTAACGATTAAATAATGTTGTGTCTTTCCAATCGATGCAAGGTTCAAATAGATGTGAAATGACATCTATGTGATAATTATTGTTTTGAAAAGATGTGGTGGTAACATAGCAAACTGTTGTGCTTAAATATCTAGTCTTTACCATCTGTTGAGTCAGAGAAACCTAATTACTAATGTTCTCCTGCCCAGATGTGCGTATGAAGAGTTATATAAGACCTGGTTAAGAAGGGAAAGTCACCTCATTCACAAACACCACAAACATATGTTTTCCAGAAGCATCAGTCCACCTCTTCACGTGGTCCACAGCGTGCATGAATACTATCAACCCACCAAATGGTAAAAACTGAGGGGAATAATAATATGATGCAAGTGTGGGCCAGAGGACCATATCCTGTTATGGTGGGTCTGGGAGAGGCCTGGTGTTGCCAGTCTGATGCAGACCACAGCCACCCACTCCTCACCCGTCTGAATCACTGTTTACTTAGACAGGAAGGCCGCCCGCTACAACATCATCAACTCCTGCTCCATGTCTGTGACTCGCTTGTGGCTTCGGTGAGGGGGGGTTGTGTTTTTCTCCGACGGCCAAGTTTCTAAAAGCAGAGACAAGTCAAAACCAAAGGCTGAGAAGAGCAGGGCCCAGCCTCGGAAACCGCTGCTCCTCTGAGCTGTCCACCTCTGACGCTTATACACCCCCTCCATCTGCGAGAACAAAGCCCCATTCAATCACAGTGTGTTTGGATGAAGGTTAATGTCTGTTGAAGACTCAGCTGGTAAAATATTACCATGCCAAAGTGTGAAAACCAAAGATTTAACAAAAATATTCAGTCTGTGTGAATCAAAGCAATTTTCACATGAATAAATGATATAAACACGAGAGAACCATGAGACGTGACTGAACGTTCAGGAGAGAGTTTGTCATATTTTAAATGTTTCGAACGTTTGAGTAGAATCTGTTCACTTTTATCATTGTGAAAGCTTTTATGGGGCCTGAGGCAGAACTATATCAGCTTCCATCCTTCATTAAGGAAATTAAATAATCCAAAATATCAAAGATACAGCAATGAAATCGACTATTTTATGCTTGTGTTTTGTAATAAAATACGCAACATCGAGTTACATCAAACACAAATGACTGATTCATTTCACAGGTTATATTATGAGGCCTTCTATAGCTTTTCAGACCCGAGCTTTGTTTTGGTCCCCTCACTACACTGACCCAGTTCCAGAAAAAGATGGCATTTAGAGCTTGAAAAGACCTTCCTATGTGGGGCCACTGTATTTAGACAGAAAAACGCTAAAACAAAACCCAGCGTCGAGGTGCTGAAAGCTATATTCAAAGTGTGGTTTCCACTGCACTGTATCGCTTTCATCAGGTCGCCCCTCTCGCTGGGCCTGGACCCCCTCCACAGCCACACTGTGGTGCAGTTTCTGCTGTGAGAAAGACCACGCGGGGGCGGAATGAGCCAAGTTGGTTTTGACTTTCTTGCTGTAGTAGTGAGAACAAAATTAGAGTTTTATGTGAAATGGAGGGGGGGTGGGTCCGATGCATGGTTGTGTTGGGATGCAGAGGAATGTAACGTACTTCTATGTCAACAAAGGTATAAAAAATGTGTGTGAAAAGAGACTTTGTTTGGGGAAAACATTCGTCTGCTGTTAAACAATTGACTGAAGTTTATGGGAGACAGGCCGAGGGAAAGGTGGGAACCATCAAGGACAGAGGCAGGAAACCAACGTGGGCTCTTTCTACCTGCAAAGCAGACAGTGTCAGCTACATCCACCTGGCACTCAAGGTCACACAGCACAGACAACAGCATAGAATGAGGTTTGTGGAGTTTTTAGTTAGTTTTCAATCTAAATTTTCAATTGTATTTGATGCATGGACGACTCCAGAGACCAAAAATTACACAACATAAATAAGGTGAACTCACTGACCAGACCTTCCTCTCTGGTTGTAGTTGTGTTACTGTAACGTCAGCCAGTGCAGAAATATTACATTAAAAAAAGGCCTTCAAAAGAGCACATGACCATTATGAAGCAAAATCTGGTGACATGAACTGGTCTCTGCTGACACCTGGTGGATCAAGATGTTTAAAACCGTTCATGTTGTCGATAGAGCACTCAAAGCAGACTTTCACATCTTTTTGAAGCTCTCTTAGAATTGCTTTTAAGATTTTATTGTCGACTTTTCAGGTCCCTTCTGGACACTTCAGATCTTTTGACACTGTATGTGCTCGGTCGTAAACCTGAGGTCCTCAGACCCAACAAGCCGGAGCTGGAGCCAATCCCAGCTGACATTGAGCGAGATCGGGATGCGCAGTGGACAGGTCACCAGCATATTATTATGATCTTTATTATTACTATTTTTATGAAAACATGACGCACACAGCCGAGAACCTGTTATTTTACATTTTACAGATGCTTTTAACCTTCACACGTGGTTTACAAATTAGAATCTGTTGAACTAGTACCCAAAAATAAGTCACTTAACTACAAACCTGTTTGTATTGCTTTTATTATTAATGGTACAAACAGTGTTCCAGGCATAAGTAGTGCATAGACGCATCTTGAAAGGTCTGTTTCACAAATTTACAGATGCTGTGTATGGTCGGGGCAAAGTTTGGCGCATAACATCATCGACAACCACATTATTATCTGAACCCCCGGAATACAGTCCGTCAAATTTAGTGCAGTTCCATTTGATTTTAAACAACATTCAACATTAACTGGGCACAAAGAAGCCCAGAAACAACATGTATTAACACTTAAAGGAAAATGGCTGCAAAAGTGTCTTTGAGCAATTTGTTCTACGCTCAGCGAAGTGCTTGAAATTAAGTCATCAGAAGTTGACGGTGGGAAGTACCAGCATTTCAGGATTCAGTCCGTGTCTTTGGTTTGTGGTGATCTTGGTAATCTCGGAAATAAAGGATCAGTATTTGCAAGTTTTAGCCTTTTTACAAAGAATCACATACACCGTTGATTGAGTGAAGCATTTTCCAAAGCATACTACTGTTTCCATTTCTTTCAGTAAAAAATGTTTTCTAACCTTCAAGTAAAAAATTGTTGCTCCAAGTTTGGCTACTGACACAGCAGACATTTACGTGACCTTTTCTGTAATACTGCGGGAAACATACATATTGAGATCGTTTCTTGTGTTTCCTGAGGGTAACATCACAACCATGACTGACCTGTACTTAAGACATGAAACCTGCTCGAGATATAAAGCAATAAAACCTTATTTATTCTTTTATTCTCTAAACTGTGATAGTGTGCAATAACTCCTGCAAACACTGAAAACTGCATTATAATGCAACGAGGATTTAAGTGGGAGGGTAAAAAACAGATGAGGTAATATCCTGTATGATGGTTAAATGCAACAAGCACATTCCAGATGGAGTTTGATGCATTGAAATACATTGAAAGTCTAAAAATGCTGGGCACCTGCACTACAGGTGAGCTAGCGGACGCCCCATAAACAGATGCTCGAGTCCTTCTGCAGCGGCCGTGGGATTCGGCCCTTTGCTTTGTCTACCCCCCATTCTCTCTCCCCTTCTCTCCTTGTGCTTGTAATTTCCTACAGGCAACATCCCCCAAAAAATATTTTTTAAAAAGATGGTTGTGGTTCCTAGAAGCAAATATTGTGACGACAATAATCACAACTTGAATGTGTCTTGAAATCTAAGCAACACCAATGCTTTGAAAAATGTTCAGCACTAATGTGATGTACAGCCGATATGTAATAAATAGGCCAAAACATGCAAAACCACCTGTTTCATCCTTTACTAGCAGACGAACAGTGCTTGATCCTATGTTCTCTTGGCAGGTTTGGCAATAAGCTGCCGTTCTCTCTCCAACTCCTTCTCACGCTGCTGCTCCTTCTCAAGCGCCTCCCTCTGCTTCTGCTGCTGCAGCTTCAAGGCTCTTTTCTGAAAAAAAAAACAACAGTCAACATTTAATTAGCTTTGTTTGATTCATCTAACAACCTGTCAACTAAAGTCACCCGTGTTTAATGTGACCGAGATGAGAGACACCTTTAGTTTTGTCGTCTTTTCGTGGAGCATGATCATCTCTTTCCTTATGTTCACCAGTTTATTGTGGTAAACCTTTGCCTCTGTAAACTAAACACAATAAAGTGGATTAGAGATCATGTAGAGAATACAAACAACAATATGGGCAAATCTGAGATTAGAATTCAGCCCAAACATACCAGTGAACTGAGGTCGACTAAGGCATTACATTCTCTGAACTTGGTGACTTCTTGGTCCAGTGTGTCTAACAAAACCAGCTGATTTTGTCTGGAGAAGACAAAAAACCAACATGTAAAGTTAAAAAAAATTATAAATCAGGTGCAGATCATCACTCGTGTTTAAGGAAATCTTCTGAATATGAATATATCCCACTGATACAGACGATGACTTGATATTCAAAAGGTGGTCCATACTTTTTTAAGTGTTAGTGGAGTTGTAATTGGATTAGTTGGATAAATCCAGCTCTAAACATCACAATGTCAGGCGGCTTCCTCAAAGACATTCCTTTGAACTGGCTGCTGGACTCAAGTCTATACAATACAGAAGCTGCAGCACTGCTGCTGCACAAAGAGCTGTTCACCTGTTGTAGAACTGGTTGCTGTTGTCTGCACTTCCTTGGGCCCTTAACAATTCCCAAGCGTGAAGCCAATAAGATGAATGGTTCTCGAACCACAGACAGAAAATTCAATATGAACTATCATATTAATTTGAGATGCAGTTATCTTTATGCTGGGGGTGGCACATATTTAGGAAAAAAGAGCTTTAAAATAATATTAAATACTCACGTGAGCTCTTGAAGTGCTCGTTTAGAGGTTTGCAGATCAGGTAAGTAGTGAGAGAGAAATCCCTCAGTGAGTTTATCTACTGCTTTCTTATCCACATACAATTCCTTTGCCGGGGCGGACACCTCCAGCTGCAAGGACTCCTGCTGTGCTGACTGGAGATCTGTCAGATGTGTCAGACAAACATGTGCCAAGTGTTAAGTGTGTTTTAATTGAGATCAATAGATTTTTGGGTCAGGGAAGTAAAAAGGCTTTTACAATAGTCAAGGTGTGATGATGTTACTCAGAACATGGGTAACACCTGGAACACACTCTCTCTCTTTATTACTATTTGTCTCTTATTATTTGTTTTCGTTTCCTGTAATGCTGCTGGAATCTATCTAATCTAATCTCTCATACACACACACACACACACACACACACACACACACACACACACACACACACACACACACACTCTCTCTCTCTGTCTCTCTCATATACATGCGCACACTCACTGTCTCTCTCTCTAACACACACACAGACTCTCACTCTCTCTCTCATACACACAAACACACTCTCTCTCTGTCTTTATCA